GAGAGAATGTCAAGCCAACTTAGTGAGACCGCTTGCATAACTTGGTGAGACCGAAATAAATGCAACAAGTCACAGAGTGTTGGCAAGGCCATCTCGGTGAGACTGAGACCCATATCCGTGAGACCGAAGTATTAGGGTTTCTGGCAGTGGCTATGTCATCGGAACTCGGTGGCGCCGGATAGAAAGAATCGATGGGGCCGAGTTGGAGTTTGGGATTTTGACATATTTGGATGGAGAAAGTGGTTGAGGTTATTTGGAGCAGTATCACTAAGCATTTGAGCAAGCAAGCCATTAACAAACACCTCATCCCCTTTTAATAGTATTGGCTTTCCTATGGACTCAATGTGATCTTGGATCACTAAAATAGAAATGAGGAGTCTTGAGCTTTTGCCAATATGTATCCTTAGCATTTTCAGGGGTCCACATTTCTAGTCCATGCCATGTCATTCATTGAACTTCCTGAAATATTAATCTTGAATGGATATTAGTTCAATGAGCTATATGTTTTTATGAATTACTAAAACCACCCGGGGTTTAGTTGCACTTTCAGTAGGTTTTTGTAATAGCTTGGTGGCGCTCTATTGTTCATCACCTGCCTCATCTTGGCCTTGAGCACTTCTTTATCCGAGAAGAGCTCGTTCCACCAATCTCCCATGTTGTCTCGCTCCCCGTGAATCAACGGTTTTCCTCAGTTATCTTGTTGGTTGTGCCAAGCAGACTCAACCTCAATGCGTCATGGTTGGGGCTGCCAAGTGATTCGTTCAACATGTCTTGGCCTTCCAAACCGAGAGTGCTATGGGGCTCGTCCGCATTGCCATCGGGATTGGCGTTGTTGTCATTGTTGTTATTATTCCCTTCGTTATTACCATTATAACCTCCACCGTTAGGGCCATTGCCGCCCCCGCCATTGTTGTTGTTGCCGCCTCCATCGTTGTTGCCATTGGGGGTGCCTACCGTGCAGATGTCGTAGGTGGAGGTTGTCGTCCACTTACCTGTGGGTGCGGCGGCTATTGGCAGGCTATCCGAGGACTCACCGACCTCCTCATTCAGGTCATCGACCTCCTAGGAGGCGCTTGTGAGGACATCGATTAGGTCCTCAACATTGGCAACTAGATGTGTGGTGGGTGGGTCAAAAAATCCGACTTTTCCCGATGAATCCTAGATCTGATCGTACACCGAGGTCTGATCGTCCGATATAGCCAGCTTCTGAATCTGATCTAAGATCTCGTTGAGGAATGATTTCTCGCGATCTTTCTTGGCCTGTTGACGTCACGACAATAGGGGGTATTTTTAAGATCATGCCCAACCCGGATCTTGGTTCTCGTTTTGTGGCTTGGTCTATTGCCAAGTTCTCGGGCGGCATCATCAGGTTCTGACCTGAGGTCGGTCCCAATGAGAGGTTCTTGCAGTCGTCCTGAGTCAGATTCGACATCAAGATCAAGGCGAGCATCTCGGGCTGCTCTTGGATCTGGTTTGATACAGAGCTCGTGAAAACCTGCTCTCCGCATGAGTTCGAGATATACTCCAGGTTGCCAAATCTTACAATCCGTCCTGTAGTGAAAGTTTTGACCTGGCCAAGGTAGCCGGTCGTGTCGGGGAAGAGGAAGATGCTACCGAGAACGAAGATATGCCCGGGCACGAAGGTCATGATCGTGTCGGTCTGCTCACCGATTGTGATCCCCATCGAATCATTGCGACTTCTTAGTGAGACCTTTTTGGGCCACCAATGATGGAGCTAATCTGGCAAATCTCGGGTAGGGGGTTCCGAACTAAGGGTCTAGAGATGATAGTAACAAGGACCTGAGTTTTTACCCAAGTTCGGGCTCTCTAGATGCTTGTGTATATTGCTTTCATATGGAGTACATATGATCTACCTTGAGATTTTTGTGTGTCCTCTAGTGCCCTACTCCTTGGTTTATATAGGTACCAGGGGGGGTCTAGGGTTACATCCTAGTCGGCTATGTGAAGGGAAGACGAGTTGTATATGATTCCCAGCATCTTGGAGTGTACGACAAGTCTTCGGGAACCTTCCTTCTGTACCATGGGCAACTTCGATGTGGCCCACTGGTGAACCAACATGGGGTCCTTGGCCCAGCCCATCAGGCCGGGAGACGATGTGGTGAAAGACCCCTAGTCCGGGAGGACAACGTCACACGACATCTCAAATGGCGACATGCACAGTGGCTCAGGCGACGGTGCGGACAACGATGGAGGTCCCTCCAACCAAGGAGACCTTGGATATGAGGTCGTCGTACCTCGCCTTGTTTAGGTTAGGTTAGGTTAAAAAAATAGTTTGAACTTGTTTGAATTTCATTCGTTTGATTGTAAATATATTGAAATTTAATAAATTTTCTTAGCATGAATTTCGTCTGTATTTTTGTTCTATCCATTTCAAATGGCCCGCGTACGGTTGGATGGCTGGCGCCAAGCCCATTGTCCAAGGACAAATTTGGATGTCCGTAAACATTTGATGCTGGTCTTTTGTTTGATGATCCGTGATTGGAGTTGCCCTTAATTAGTTATCGTGCACAAACGCTTTGCATGCCAATATATGCTCCAGATGATTGGCCAAGCAAAAGTTTCGTGAATGAATCATTCTATTGCCATGATGCGAGAAGGATGGAAAAAGAAGAAATCACATGAGTCGTGTTTGATATATCATCAACTTTGCAGTGCTCCCCCCAAGACTCCAGGACTCCAGGTGAGGTGAGTAGCGGTAGGCAGTAGCACTAGCACCACATGCTATGCAAAGCGTGCATGCTTGCTCGTGTCGTCAGCAAAGCAGCTGCGTGCTGCAGGGAGGAACAGGTTTGTCCTGAGAAGAGCAATTCAATTGCTTGTCGGAGCCTAAAGCGGTTTGTTCCTATGTGATCTTTATGCTTGATCGCATGCATGAGACAATGTATGTTTTGTCTGAATTGTGCCTCTGAAGATTGTCCGGGGGTTTTCATCACAAAAGAGAAAAAAAGGAAGATCGGCGAGGCCGGTTTCTGGTCTAGCCCCCATTTGGGCTTGCACGAACATCTTACTCGCTTCTCTCTTTTTTTTCTCTCAAGAAAACTTTCTATTTATTCAATAATTGTCAAGACAGTACACAAAAAGTAATGGAAATTACATTCATATCCATAGACCAAGCACCAAAACGAACCGAATACACATTGTCATCATCGCTTCTTCCACTGAAGCCGGACAAACCTTGTTATACTGGACAGTCGAGAAATCGACGTGCTAAAGCCCCACAGGACTACCGCAACAGAAGATCAACCATCGCCGATGTAGAGAAGCGTACATCGAAAGTCGATGTAGAGAAGCGTACATCGAAAAGATCCCACCTACAGCCAGACGAACAAAGACCTGGTCCAAACAGAACCATTAAAGACAAACATTGACTGAATCTCACGAGATCCACTGGAGATACACCTTCACATGCCCTTCAATTATGCTAGATGTACCGTCGGGGCAGAGACTAGACGGGAAGAACTTTATTCCATCTTCATAGAGCCACCACCGCCTCGTCTTCCTGAGTAGGACACAAACCCTAAACAAATTATAAAAACACATAAAAACGAAGTCCTCCCGCTGACAAGGGCCAGGAGCCACCGCGCCTTCATGGGACTATGGTTACAGGAGACTAGGCAGATCCGCAGCGGCCACAGGGGACAGGAGGTAGGACGCATCAAAATTAGGACAATGCAGATGTAAAATGTGTTATCGATGCATTATCTTTTCATGTCACTTTTAGCAACTAATTTTGCATGCTGCTAAAAAATTATGTGATTACTAGAATGAATTAGAAAACCTACAACTAAGAGAAGACATACACAAATATCATAATACTCTAAAAATGTAAAAATCATAATTCTGCTATTGTTTGCCAACACACATGCATAAATAAGCTGGACGAGAGTGTTTTGATTTGATAGATCGACCGTGATTGATGTAGTTACATCGCCACATTTTTTTTATAAAGAGCGTATTTTATTAACTCATAATAAAGTATCAAGAAGATACAAACACAGTGAACACGCATGTCCTCTACATAATTAAGATGCACACAGCCAACACCAACACACACAAAAAGATCATGTCGGCAAAGAGCAAAGCCATATAAGACCGAAGCTATGCAAGGGGAGCATATATTTAGGATTAATGCTTGGGAAGAGCCTCTTGCCTGCCATGAGGGGAAATGTAAGTGAAAACTATTGCCCACTCAGCAACTCTAGCAGGTCCACAAAAGCACATGAACTCCATAATAACGCCAATATCGATGCTACGGGGTAGAAAGAACATTCTAGCAGATTCTCACTATACAGGGTGCTCGAGTCCCGGCATGGGTTTTTTCTTCCAGAGAAAAAGGAAAAGGGAATCCCAGTGACAAGTGGGTCCCATGACATGACAGAATTTTAGAAGCTACCCCCTCGGTAAAGAAATACTCCCTCTGTCCATAATATAAGTGCGTTTTTATTAATGTAGTGTAAAAAACGCTCTTATACTATGGGAGGGAGGGAGTACTTTACAATATCTAAATTTGCACGACTGCTTTTGAGCCTCCAAAAGATTTCGGAGTGCACTCCAATCCGTTTTAGAGGCTGCTTTTTTTTAGAATCTGCTAGAGTTGCTTGCTCTTAGGCACACCTCTGGTTAGTAACAGCATGCACTTGCGTAATCACCACAAGGCATAACGGACGAAAAATTAGACCCAGAATAACTATGGTTCCTTCTGTTACCTAAACTTGCTTTTACAACAGCTAGAACACAACAGAGAAACAGCAGCACCACCAACCCCCATGTTTTTCTCGCCAGAAACTGCAACCCAGGATCCCAGCTTGCCTTCAGTTTTTGCTTCTTTTTCTTGCAAGCAATCCAAAATGGGCGGCAAATAGAAGCCGGTCACCGGCTTCATTCCTTCAAATCCCTACTACAGGCCCCATCTTCTCTTTCCTCATACTACATCCTCAAAGACCTGTTAAAGGAAGCAAACAAAGAGGGCACGAGCAGCAATGACTGCTACACAGCCGGACATGGAATTGCAGAAGGATCAGAGCCATCCGCTTTTGTCCAACAGAACTGATGGCACTGACAACATGAGCCCCGTGCAGAAAGCAATCAGACAGGCATACCAGAGCACCGGGCACCTCGCCAAACTCCTTCCATCAGGCACCGTGCTTGCCTTCCAGCTGCTGGCTCCAACCATGGCTAAACAAGGCCACTGTGGTGACTTGGATCGGATGATGACGGGAGGGCTTGTGGTGCTCTGTGCACTCTCGTTCTTTGTTGTTACCTTCACAGATAGCTTCAGGGATGAGAACGGAAAGGTACGACACGGGTTTGCCACGTTCAAGGGATTGTGGCCATTGATGGTGGAGTTACTCTTGATCCACACGCTGCGGTTGAATATAAGATAACATTTCTAGACTTTTTCCATGCAACTGTCTCAGCAGTGATTTTTGTTGCAATCGCCCTATTTGACCAGAATGTGGCATCTTGCTTTTATCCAATACCATCAGAGGACACAAAGCAAGTTCTCACAACATTGCCAGTTGCTATTGGAGTTATTGGAAGCATGCTGTTTGTTAGCTTCCCAACCACCCACCATGGCATTGGCTTCCCAGTCTCTCCACAGTAGCTGGGTCTTCAAAAGATTTGGTTGCTCTAATTCCTGTTGATCAAACACAGAGTCGAAAACCCCTTAAGTGGGATAGAGAGAAATATACAGCACCTATTTCCTAAAATAATATTTATAAGAGTACCTATGGTGGCCTTCGACATGAACATGTTTTGTGTATTCAGAAATGAACAGTGCTGGCAACTGGCAGGATAATATATTGGATACATCTTTGGCACATACCACAATTTTTTAAATCTTTCATATGATACAACTAAGACTTTTGGTTGAATGGTTAAAGCGCCCAACTCATAATTGGTAAATTTGAGGGTTCAATTCCTACTGGATGCACGTGAACAGGAACGTTCCATAAGTCTACTGGAATTGGCTCTCTATCCACGGAACCTCATCCATCATGTATATTTATACCATAACATAGGAACAATATGAACTCGTATTCTTATTGATACTCGAACTCAGAGCATAGGAGGGAAAGTCGATACATGGATGGAATCAAATACGCGGCAGGCATGGAAAAAAGTCTTCATTAATTGGGAAAGAAGCAATATACCAGGAGTCGATAGCTTGTTTTTGTCTTGAATCTTCATACATATATGTAGTTAAGTTTTGTATTGTAATTTGCTAGTTTTTCCAAAATTAACATGTCTAGGAAAGGAGACTTTAAAAATCATATCAGACAGTGTATTCTTGAAGTCATACCACGCAGCTTTTAAGTCGTCATGCAATAACCCTGAACAAACATTTTGGTCGACGAAATAAGGAAACAGAAGACACATGACAAGAATAGAAATGAACTTCAGCAGAGCGCGTGTATGTATCTCTATACATACAAAAACAAGAGATATGGAAGACAACCCCACATCGTACCTGAACACTGCCCGCATGCTTGTCACTTCAAAAATTATTCATACAATAAATATTAGTACTTCGCATATCCTGGACATGGAAGCACTGGAGTTTAAGGGGTTTGGTAGCAAAACTCTCTCACTTGTGCAACCCCATGACGGAACAAGTGTGTCGGTTCACAATTTTTGCTTGATAAGTCTTAGGCGGATCATGTACCAGCACAGTGTAGCAGGGGGACAGCCTGGTGCATGTGGTCCCGCTTATGCAGAGTCCGGGGAAGGGTCCGACCAGCACAGTGTAGCACAACATTTATTTTTATTTTCAATCAGATAACTGCTAATTGGTTCCATATTTGCTCAGCTTCTTGTCTGACTTTCTTCTTACTCCAATACCCGCTGACAATAACATCCCATGTTTCCCTCTCAGGGATGCACCTCTCTGACAACATGTCAAGCACAACACAAGCTGCTTTCTCCAAATGGTTCTTTTTGCAGAAGAACTCAACCAGGAGATGGAAAATGCTTGGCTCGGTAGAAATGCCACGAGTCCTCATGCTCTGGTACACCTGGAAAGCCCTCCCAACTTCACCCTTAACACATAATGCTGTCACCACTGCAACGTTTATCCTGACATGAAGGCTCCAAGTCACCCGGTTCGGTTGAACGCCAGCAAGAACCATCTCATCCAAGTAATTTGCAGCCTCCACAGCCCTTCCTGCATCAGACAGCCCAACAATGAGCTTCCCAAACAATCCAGCATCAGGCTTCCTCCCCTGGAGACGCATCCGGTCCAAAACCTCCATTGCCTCCCTCAGCAGGCCCTCCTTACAGAGGCCATTAATGACAGAACTATATATGATTGTATTTGGCAGCTTCACCTCCTTGGTCAACCTCTCCAACAAGTCCAGTGCTGATGATGCACGCCCACCCTTGCACAAACCATCAATCAGAGAACTATATGTAATAACATTGGGTGCAATACCTCTCCTTCCCATTTCGTCAAACATCTCCAGTGCATCGTCCAAGCAGCCCTCCCGTGCGAGCCAATTGATGATAGTCGTGTAAGTAACCACTGTGGGCGCAACGCCATTTTCTACCATCTCGGAGAACAGCTCCTGGGCCTCGGCCCTGCGGCTGCGGCGGCAGAGCCCGTCGATGACGGTGTTGTAGGAGCAGGCGTCAGGTTTGGGGATGTTGCGGAAAAGGCGGACCGCGTGGTCGATAGGAGCGTCGGCATCAGAGCAGTGGGCCTTGAGGAGGACGTTGTAGGTGGCGGTGGTGGGGCCGAAGCCGGCGGCGCGCATGTCGGCGAGGAGGGAGTGGGCGAGGGGGAGATGGGAGTGCGCGACGAGGCCCGCAAGGACGGCGGTGTAGGAGCGGGCGGAGTGGGGGAGAGAGAGGGCGGAGGGG